CACTTCCTTCGGCGGTTCGCTCCTTCGTTCAGAAATTTACGTCTAGAAATCTACCGTAAACGCAATATCTGTATGTACAGATATCACACACTGCTTTCAGCATACCACTTCGGGCGCAAGGTTGACATGGAACATACTCTATAGCCTTGTAACATACTATGGTTACGAGCGAGCGAGCGAAGCGAAGTCTTCTCAATATAACGGAAAAATCTCAGTATGAGCGGCCCGGCCCGGCCCGGCCTGTAACGCTTTTGAGAGGCTTATATCTCAGCAACCGCTGGACCGATGGGCCTGCGGTCTTTTTTGTTGGGTAGCCCCATCCCTTCTACCCAGGGGGGCGACACGGCTATTCACGCAATGTATCCATTTGCGGGCCCCGCGGGGCCTCGCGATGACGCGGCTGGAGGCAACCACTCAGCGCGCTAGGATCCTTCTGGCGGGGCCGGGCGCCGTAAGGTGTGCAATGAATGGGCGGGCAGACAGAGATGAGGTAGGTATTGAATTTGAAATGACATCATGAGCAATTGGATGGGGAGAGAGAACGTTTCTAATGGAGCTGGGGATGGGGGAAAACCAAAAATATCACGGTCGGTTCAGTGCTCCGACGGGGCTGGGCGCCGTACGGTGCGTAGTAATTTAGACGGGCAAACAGAGATGAGTTATCGGATTCGGCTCTCTGGTGGGATTTTAAGACGTTTTTAGTTAAGCTCAGGGCGGGGCAACTCGCTGGCGGATGCAAGGGAAGGCATTTGGGACAAATGTTATCCCCCACAGGCCCACATCCGGGGCAGCGTCCGAAATCGTTTTTCGAGAATAAAACGAAAACTTCACAACTTTTATGAGGAAAAGTGTATTGATCGAAGTGCACAGTAGTGCGCAAGGAATCGAAATCCGATGTTTTTTTAATTCACAGAAACCTTTTTTAGGGTATATGCCCCCCGATGTGTTCAAGACCGCTTCCTGGATCCGCCAATTAAGAATATGTCACGGTCGATTATCGAGCTTCGACGGGACTGGGCGCTGTATGCGTCGTACCTACTATGAAGAGGCGTACAGACACCTCACCCCACATCCTACTGCTCTACCCGTGCCTCTGGGTGAAGCACTGAAGCATCACGGAAGCCCACAGGACCTGCGAGTCGACGAGGTGGCCGCCGGATACTGCAGCTCCCCGGAGTTGCCCGGGACCGAGGGTTTAACAGTAGTAATTTTCACTGGTGGTGAATCCTCGTAATGTAGAGATAATATCCTCAAGGACCTCCGTTACGATTTTATATTCCTAAACAATATGGCTGACCAATTATGCTTGCCTACGTTCAGGCATTATCCCTGATGCTTATCCGCCCACTACAACATTTGTTGTCTGTCAATCAACCATCGCTCGACGACGGGATCAATTCTAACCATCGGTACTCGGTTGTCAATTCACCCACCCCGTTTCCCTAAAAATAGACGGGTCAGACTCGGCCTGGGTCCTAACGAGTCCTAGAATCGCCAGGGACGGGATCGGGTCGCCGTTATTGCACCGGTCTTAGCGTCTTTTGGTACATGTAGACAGCTTCGACCACGGACGTCGGACCATTCTACGAATGTTCGCACCATCCAGGCCAAGATGCGTCGAGCTTTATAAGAATGCAGTCTAGATCAATCAACATAACAATGGTGGTATGCAAACGTTAAAATCTCTCCCCGGCTCCCGCAACGTCCAACGCTCCTCCGTTATACGCTCGCTCGATGCGTCCGCCGAGCCGGCTTGCCTCCAATGACGTCCTCGGCGGGCCGGCGGCGTTCAAGGTCAAACGGCTGGTGTCCTTACCTGGAGTTCTATAGCCTTGCTTCTACCCCGTAATTGACTACTTTTGATACATCTCAGTGACCGTCGTGGCACGTGCCACGTGAAAAGTCAAGGGTGTTCTGTGTTCAAGCAGTTTTGCAAAAGTAGTGATTTTGAGAGGCCCATATCTCAGCAGCGGCTTGAGCGATTGTCTTGCGGTAATTTTTATAGGGTAGCTGCATCCCTTCTACCAAAGGTCGGATACTCTTGATCTATGTGAGTGACCCCCACTGCACGTGCAAAATACAAAAAGAAGAGGTGCCAAATTTGTTCCCATTTCAGTTACTCGGTAATTACTGGGGCGATTTCGCTGAAACTTGGCATACAGTTAGGCACCCACCAGGCAATGCATTCCCATGCGTTGCGGTTAGGGTGCTACTGCACGTGCGCACGTGCAGGGGGCGTTTCCAGATCTCAAGAACGGCTGGGCCGATTGCGCTCATATTTGGTACACGGTTGGGGATCGGTTAGTAGGGTGCCGTGCAAAAGTTATTTTGGACCCCGTTTGCACGTGCGCACGTGCAGAATGCCGCTTCCAGATCTCAGGAACGGCTGGGCCGATTGCGTTCAAATTTGGCACACCGCTAGCGACCGGTTAGAAGGGTGCTTTGCACAAGCCCGTTGGAAGTACCCTCTCGCCCTTCCGCACGTGCAGGGCTCACTATCTCGCTCGCTCGTTCTTCGCCCAAAAGGCGTTTTACTGGTAACTATGGTTTCACTTGAGTTTCACCAAGCTTGACCATTATTTAACTGATGTGTTATTCGTGTATCGCGGGTTCGCGTCCCGGAAACGGCGCGCCAAATTTTGGGTACCTGTAGGGAATTGATTGAAATTTATTGTGACAAAGTTTCAAAAAAATCGGTCGGAAAATTTTTGAGATCGAGGTTTTAGTGACGTCATGATTTCTGAGTTTTCGACCAAAAACGGCATATGTTCAAAAAATCATATAAAATTACCGAATAGACATACAGACATACCGTGAACGTCATTAGACTGCCAATACCATGAACAATCAAATGGCTATCTTCGATTATTGATTATCGTTCCGCATTTTCCAAAATCTTGAACTGAATCTTGGCAATTTCTCGTGACTACTTCACGACCATGATACATGCATTTCTTAAATTGAGCTTTTTGAGCCAAACACGTACACATATGATACAATGAATGTGACCATCGTGTTCTACGCCCCAAATTACCCGTAAAACATGTGTCACAGGCTGCGAATATCAGTTTCGATTTTCGGGGATACCTATGTGCCTACCCGGTTGACCTGACCTTGACCCTGACCTATGCTTGACTTACCCCTACATGGAGCTGACACTCTTGTAGGCCTTAAATGATGGATTGCGCACCGTTTTGACAGAGTTTATGACGAGAGGCGCCCATTGCGAAGTCCTGAAGTCCATGCTACTGAAAGCCCGATTTCAGGTGTTTGACCTGACCTTGACCCGACCTGTGATAAAGTACCCATCTGAAGCGTCTCGTCGCGTTCTTTCGTTTGCCGCCTCGTGCGTTTCGCTGCGCCTATTGGTTCTCAAGTTATCGGCTGGGGGCGTTTAACGCCCCCCCCCCCCCCCAGCAAACGGTGGGTGGCGAAATACCCCAGCAACTGCCGGGTTAACATAATCAAACTGTGGTAAGTTATTTGTGCATCGAGGGTTCGCGTCCTGAGAGCGTCAGATGGCTTTAACATCACGAGCAAGCCGAGCGAGCACGTTTCTACGAGGTGTAAATCTCGGCAGCCACTGGACCAACTCGCAGTAATTTTTTAGGGTAGCTTCTAAGGCCCTAAATACAAGGTTGCACGCACTTTTTCTGCTAAACCTACCAGAGTATAGTATCACAGTTCGACCATATCCGACCATATCCGAAGAAATTTCGATCATATCCGATACCACTAAATGTTTCACCAAGAATTTGGCATTGAACTGTGCTTTTCACAATGCTGGCCGTGTTGTGCGAGATATGTAACGGAATTTCGGCCTATCTAGATGGTATTTGATTGCTTTTTCTGCTGAGCGGCTTCCCAAAGCTGCAGGATGCACGGTTGCAGAGGTATTGTCGGTCTTAGTTAGGGGCTCACTTTTTTTAACACCCTGTACTTGTAGTTTGTACAGTCTCAACCCTTGGACTGGACTAATGCATTGCAAAGACACCATTGCAATGGTGTCTTTGATGAAGGCCGGCGTGATGCACCAGAGCCCAGAGGCCGGCAACGGGCAGGACTCACAAAGGCTGCCGAAGGCCCTCAACTCGGAAACCGGGGTCATGTTCAATTCAAGTGTTTGCGGCCGCCGCGGCTCCCGCGGTCGAAGACGCGGGCTTTAGCTGGCGACCAATCACGACGGCGGGAATTGCCGTCTGTGCGTCACCTGATTGGCCGCTATAGTTTTTTTAAAGTTCGACCCTCACTGTAATCGTCTCTTTGAACACAGCACGAGATTGCTAGCTGAATTACTGAGAAAACTGGTTGGCGCACATTGATTTCACAGACGATTAATTTTACTCAAAATTATTTGTTCCTGGCTCTTATTTTCCAGACTCCTAGCTCGTATTTGTCCTTATCTACAGCCCCACAGGGATAGACGTCTTGTCAGAAATTATAACTGAACTGATCAATAGATCGCACGGCGTTTAACAGAACGGTATATCATCGGTGTTAAAAAGTTATTTGGAAAATATTATTTATGTCTCCAGTTCAATGTGCGCTAACCAGTTTTCTAAGTAATTCCGCTAGCAATTCTCGTGCTGTTACGGACGAGTCGATGTTATGCCGAGGTGAAACATAATGTTATGATGTGAATGAATGAGGTATGAATGAAAGAAGTTATGATCGAGATTCGAGACGAAGCGATGCGAAAACGAATGAATGAATGAATGAGTATACTCGAATGAATCAATCGATGCAGTACAAATAATCGAGTCGATATACACGATAAACGATACTGTGTTCCGAATTAAGGTTCGAATCAAGGTTGGCATTAAACGAGCGTGTTCTACTTATTTTTAGCACAAATTTATCACTGCTTTTGTAAGCTCGAGAAACTGTACTCGCGCTCTGATAATGGTAATACCGCTGCGGGCGGTGACACCCTCCCCCCTGAATGTGATTGCACGCGCATTCCAGGCCGGGCACAGTTCACACATCTGTAGTCTTCGTATTCACAGCTGTGGCCTGTCGGCCTCCTCGAGGAGACAAACTCTCGTTGCGGGTCTCTGCAGAAGTCTCTGTCGACAGCGCAGCTCCAGCGACCGCACCCGGCCATCCGCGCCAGGGAAAACGTGCGTGACGCGAGCCAGGGGCCAGAGACCTCTTGGAACATTGTCCTCTATCAGCAGCACCAGATCGCCGATCTGCAGGCTCCTTCGCTCTTGCTGCCACTTCCGCCGCTGTGTGAGACACGGCACGTACTCCCTGCGCCATCTCCTCCAAAACTGATCGCTAATGCACTGAGCTCGACGCCAACTCCTTTTGCAGGGAGGGTCCGCTGGGTCGAACAGTCCTGGCGGCAGCGAGCAGGCTGGGTGGCCAAGGAGAATGTGCTTTGGAGTGATGGCCTCCAGATCAGTCTCATCGGTGCTGAAATGAGTCAGCGGTCGACTGTTGACGATTGATTCCACTTCAACGATGACTGTGCTTAGAGTTTCTTCCGAGACGACGACTCTCCCGAGCACTGCCCTCAGCGCCCGCTTCACAGACGCCACCATTCTTTCCCAGATTCCTCCCATGTGAGGTGCCGCCGGCGTGCTGAAGTGCCATTCGATATCTTCTTGCGATAGCTGGTCAGACAGGTACTCTCGATTCCAGCCAGCCAGAGCGCTTCTCAGTTCTTTCTCCCCCTTTCTGAAGCTTTTGCCGTTGTCCGAGTATACTCGAGCTGGCTTGCCGCGTCTCCCGACGAATCTTCTGAACGCCATCAAAAACGAGTCGGTGTCGAGTGAGTTTGTCAGCTCAAGATGGACTGCTCTTGTCGTCAAGCAGGTCACCAGCAAGCAGTAGCGTTTCTCCGTTTTCCTGTTCCTTTTGATGAGCAGTGGTCCGAAGAAGTCGATTCCCACGTTGTGGAAGGGTCTGCAGTCATCGAACCTGACTGCAGGCAGATCTGCCTCTCTCGGAGGCTGCGGTAGAGCCCTTCGTCTGCGGCAGAGAGGGCAGGCAGATAGCACGCGCTTGACGGCGGCGCGTGCGCACGGCACCCAGAACTTCTGACGCATGTCATTTATGACATGCTCGACTCCGGCGTGCATGAGGGATGAGTGGTAGGCAGTTACGACGAGCCGTGTAACCTCCGATCCGCGGGGCAGAATCACTGGATGCCGGGCCGTCTCGTCTAGCGGGGCGTTGGAGAGGCGCCCGCCTACTCGCAGTATTCCGTCGCCGCCCAGTTGAGGTGAGAGTGACAGCAGACTGCTTTTGCTGTCCAGAGCCTGGCCGTCACTCAAGGCCCTATATAGAAGGTATGCTCATTAGGCCGAAGCAGCGATTTCCGTGACGTCACAGGTACGAAGGGTCGGACGGCTGTAATGCAATCCTATGGAAAATGACCCAACTTTAGGGCTCTCCTACATAGCTGCCAACCTCGACACTAAGGTAAAAGTTATATCACATAAAAGCTCAAATCAAGACGAACAAGAAACCTATCTGACGTTTTTACGTATTACTAACGGCTTAGACTCTATTCAAGTATATTCAGAGCTCTGCATTACCTCACTTTTTCTGCCGTCAATGCCACTACAAATGTCTAGTCGGCGCACGTGCGCTTGTCGAGCGGGGACCACCAGTCGGGCGATTCAGAGCTGCCGCCCAATCAGAACGCCGCAATGCCGTGACGTCATTGGTCGCACACGACACGTTACGGAGATAGGGATGAGACAGCCCTGGCCGTCACTGAGTCGGCTGATCTCAGCTGGGTAGTGTTCGGCTTGTGTTTTCCGGATGATCAGCAGCTCGGCCTCCTTTAGCTCCGCCACTGTGATTGGTCCCGATTGTCGCATGCCCTTATTTCTTCCGTAGCTCGCTTGGAAGTTTTTGACGAACCGCATTTGCCAGGCGACAGTTCTCTTGTAGCGAATATATGATGAGAATCTACTCGGGTCTGGCAGCTCAAGTGACGAGACGCGTCCTCTCGAGATAGCACCGACCATCTTCACCTCGGGATCGGTACTTTCAGGCGGCGGGAGGCTGATACCCGCCGGCCACTGCTCTTCGTCTTCAGCAAGGAAGGCTGGCCCTTGAAACCAGCGCTCACTCGTGATCAGCAGGGCAGCCTCAGGCAGCCCGCGCGAGCAGTCGTCAGCAGGGTTCAACTTGCCGGGAACATGGTGCCACTGAGAGGGCTCCGACGAGTCTTGTACCTCAGCGATCCGGTTGGCTACGAACGTGTGGAAACGTCGGCTGCTGCTGGCGAGGTATTGCAGGACAACCATACTGTCACTCCAAAAGAAGGTCCGATGAGGTTGCGGTGAAAGCTCCTGCGAGACAGTACTCGCCAGGCGCACCGCCAACACTGCCGCCTGCAGCTCCAGACGGACGATTGAGAGCTTCCGCAGCGGCGCCACACGGGTCCTGCACATGACGAACGAGCATGTGACTTTTCCCGTTACAGTTTTTGCTCGGAGATAGGCGACGGCTCCAAAAGCCGTCTCCGAGGCGTCACAGAATACATGCAGTTGTCTCTCAACGACCAGATCGCTGCCATCTTTATAGCTGCGAGGGATTTGCAGCTGCTTCAGGGTTCTCAGCTCCGTCTTCCACTTCTCCCACTGCTCCAGCTCGGCCCCGGTCACCGGCCTGTCCCACTCGAGCCGCAGGGCCCACAGGCGCTGTACCAAGACTTTTCCCACGAGCAGGAAAGGAGCGGCGATGCCAAGCGGGTCAAATATCGACGCCACCTGCTTGAGAATGCCGCGCTTGGTCGACGGCACGTCGAGTGGCGATACTTGCAGCCCGATCATGTCCATATTTGTGTTCCACACGATGCCTAAAACCTTTTCAGTAGGCATTTTTTCATCCAGATCTCTGACGGAGGCGGCGCGCTCAGAAGCTGGCATCTGAGCCAATACTTCACGGGAGTTGCTGAGCCATTTTGTCAGCCGAAAGCCCCCACTACCGACGATAGCGGTCACCGCCTTGGCACGCTCAACTGCAGCAGATATAGTCGACTCTGATCGGACGAAATCATCGGCGTAGAAGCTGTTCCTGACGGACTCGCGATCGGTGCAGCTGCCGATCGGACTATCTAACGCCGTCCGACGCAGCACGAATGCTGCCGATGCTGGCGACGATCTGGCGCCGAAAATGACGCGGTCCATCTGATATACATCAGGGACTCTTTCTTTTTCCATGTCTCTCCAGAGAAAACTCAGTGCCGCCTGATCCTCTTCTCTGACCGCGACCTGGTGAAACATCTCCTCGATGTCTGCAGATATTCCGATTCGATCTTGCCGAAATCTGATCAGGATTCCGATACTGCTCTGCAGCATGTCAGGTCCCGTGAGCAGGCGGCTGTTGAGCGATACGCCGGCGTAGGATGCTGCAGCGTCGAACACGACTCTGACTTTGTCGGGTTTGTTCTTGTTTACGACTGCATGGTGCGGCAGAAACCAGCGTCTCTTTGTCCTCTTCTCACGCTCCTGCGGCTTCAGCTTTCTGGCATAACCTTTGCTGAGGTAGCTCTCGAACGTCTTCTGATAGGCTTCCGCTTTCTCCGGGCAGCGCTGCAGCGACCTCTCCGTGCGCTCCAGCCGGTCCACCGCTGCCGTGTAGTTGCAAGGCAGAGTGACGTCATCTTCACACCACAGCAAACCTGTCTCATAGCGGTCTCCACGCCATCTCGTAGTGGTTTGCAGAAGCTGCTCGGCGCGCCTATCGTCTTCAGACGCAGACGTCTTTGAGCTGTATTTTGCGCCGAATGAGTCTGTCAGCCAAAATTCTTTCAAAAGGCTATCCAGTTCGTCTTCCTGAGTGGCCTCACGATGCACGTGCAGGACGTGCTGCAGTTCGGGTGGCACCAGTCCTGCCACAGTCCCCGACAGGGACCAGCCGAAATCCGTCCTTACCGCGACGGGCTGGCCTCTCTTTCCGACACGAGCTTCCCTCTGGACGATCGCTTCGGAGACGTTGGCGCCGAGCAGCACCTTCACCTGTTCGGGACGAACGTCACGTATGTCCAGTCCCTCGATATGCTTCCATTCAGCTCTTTCTGTGCGGCTTATCTTAGGAGACGGCACGCTGAGAGTCGGCACAGTCCAGACTTCATCCACAGTTATGGAGGTGGTGGTTGCGTCCCGCGACAGAGGGTGCAGCTCCAGTGCCACTTTCAGTGCCGTTCTTGTGCGTCCAGTTCCTTCGATGTTATCTAGACAGAGGGATTGAGCCTCTCCTTCGAGTTTCAACGTCTTCAGAATGTCTTCGCTGCAGAGAGATACCTGGGCCCCGGAATCAAGAAGTGCGAAGGTATCTACGAATCTTCCCTCTGATCCCATCACTCGGACGGGCACAGTCTGCAGGAGCGTCTTGGTTTGTCTCCGCTCAGAGCCAGGCGCAGCTGCGGCTACAGTGCGGTGAGATGCAGGGGTGCCAGACTCACGCTGGCGCAGAAGCACTCTTCTGCTCCCGTGCAGTGTGGGATGGTGCCGCCCGGTGCAGCTGTCCTCGTCGCACTGGCGGCCAGAGATGCAGTTTCTAGACTGGTGCCCCAGTTGAAGGCACGAAAAGCACCGGCCTGACTGGGCGACGAATAAAGCTCGTTCTGTCTTCGTTTTCTCGATGTATGCAGGACAGGCAGGCAGGTTTACGTGATGCTGATCACAAGCGCACTGCGCTGCGCTGTTCGGTCGTTCAGCTCCGGTGGGTGACGTCTGCTGCTCGCGCGCTGCCATTAGCGCGGCTCCACCGCTTATCCCAGCAGCGGTCATGGCGCTGGCCTGACGAGCCGTTCGGTCCGTTGCACTAATAGCGCTGCGGCTCTGCTTCTGAGGTTCTCCTCTGATCCGGTTTCTCGGCTGCGACTCATTAGCAGAATAGAGCCGGTCTGTCGAATTTAGGCCAATCCGCACTTGCTTGTCAAGCCAGTCGTCAAAATCGATCAGTGATGGACGAATTGGCTCCATCTCCACCACCGTTTTTCCCCACTCTCTTCTCAGGTCACTCGGGAGCTTTGTTACAACCCGTCTGAGGTTTTCGGTGCTGTCCAGGTCGCCAGTGAAACCCATGTTTTGCAACACCTTTACAGCACAATGCACAGATGCATGGTATTTCTCCAGACCGGCGACATCCATGTGTCGCACCGGCGGAGCATTGAGCACGGCAGCGAGGTTGGCTTCAACAATATCCTTCTCCCTGCCGAACCTTCTCATCACGGTCATAGAATACTAAGGTAACACGGAGCCGAAGCTTCAAGCCAGGGGACACGGGAGGCATGCCGTCAGCTGTCCATTTATAAACAATCGGTTTCTTTGACTTAATTTCTAATGTTTTTCTGATGTTTTGCATCAATGAGGTACATCAAAAATTAAGTTTTATTTTTTATGAGGTCGAAAATATTTTGTTGTCCAAACTATCCCCGTTTAAAGAAAATAGACAAGGGGAGAGTTTACCCAGGACCCTATGGAGAGAGTTTACCCAGGGCCCTATGGGAGAGAGTTAACACGTGCTTCTATGGGGCGAATTCGATGCAACAATGGCGCAGTAGCGACATTACTCTTGTTCGATGTCTTTCGGACGACAAAGATTCTACGCCATTTGGCCAATCACATTCCATAATTGCAGCCGAGCCCCCGTTGACCTAGAACAGGATTGGCCGGACGACGTACAATCTTCGTCGTCTGAGAGACATCGAACGAGGGGTACATCGACTGAATATACTGATACATTGCGATTCAATATTCAGTATTTTATGACCGTGATTGCAATTTGCGTTTGAGCTCAGCAGTCGAGTAAGTTGTGCCAAAAATACCAGAAGCGATATCCTATATACGGCCTTGACCAGAAGTGTTGCATGCCCTGGATGCAGAAAAACAAGATTGAGATGAGTGGATCAAGATGTATCTTTCGTGCAGATGTATCAAGATGTACCTTTCACTTAAGATCCATGTAGGTGAGGTTCCAGTGAAATTTGAATTCAATAGGTAGCTATTTTTGTTTTTGCTTTGATACTTGTGGTAAGGAAACATGATTATGGTTGCATGAACCGCCCACTGCTCATTGCTGTCTTGTCTCGGGTTCGATATCCGATCACCATTCTTAAATAGCTCACCCCATATGGAAATCAGGTTTCAGGAGGCCACTAGGCCTGTGGGGCCTGGTCTCAATGAGCTCCCAGTGCTAAGGACAGTCAGGCTCATATGTTGGGTAAGGTGAGGTTCAGGTAGGCCAGTATGCACTCTGCAAAGCATGGCAATTTCGACAAGATCTCGTCTGTGCTGGCTTGTCCGGCTGGTGAGGCTTTGGTGTGGCGTGGATTTAGCTTGGTGCAGTGCGGATTTTGTGTAGCGCGGTGCAGATTTGGCCTGGTGTGGTCAGGTGGTGGGGGGTGTAGTGTAGTGCATTTTAAATGTGGCTTGGTGATGGACATGATGGACCCAACAAAATGGATGGCCAAAATTGAAAAAAGCATTAATGGAGCTTTAACATGCAATTTACTGTGCTCTCGGGCTGATAGGTGTGCGGTGGTCAGAAGTCAGAACGGACTGTGCCAGTGCTGGTGCCTGGTGGTCCCACCAATCACGGGGGTCATCTCCTGTTGTGACCCAGGGGGTCTAGTCAAAACCTTACCTATTTCTGCTAACCTAAACCTATTTCTTACAAATTAGGTAAAAATGTGATTATGGTATAATGATAAAATGATTCAAAAGTCTTCATTTCACTCATATATTAAACCTGGCCCTTTTCAGGCGCAAGCTTTGGATGAACTTCTGCTTCTGCGGTCGGCATTCTTACAGGAGAACCCAAGATTCACTGTACCTGTATGCATTTCAAAACTGAATAATTGATAGCAACAAGTCAATATTTGAAGTTGCAGCCAAATGCTGTGACTTCTCTGCTGCAAGAGCTACATGTCACCATTGAAGCAAGGTAAGTGTTAAAAGAAATAGCTCACCTTCTGTGAGTAATTTGATTAATAAAATTCAAAAAGATGTGTTAAAAATGTGATGAATAAAATGTAAATGTATTCTAACTTGGAATTACACACTTCTTCTAAAGGGATTTCATTATTTTAATGATTAGAGTTATGAACACTAACAGCTGAACAACCTATCAGCTGCAAGGGATTCTGCTCCTGTAAGTGCTCTCATCGCTGATTGGCCACTGTGTGTGTTGAAGAGGTTTCTGCTTGCTGTAAATGAGCACTAGAACATGAATTTAAGCACCAATATTCACTGATAAAAGGTGAATATCTCAAACGGTTCAAATATAGGGCATACACAAATCTGCTCTATCAGACTGCTATCTCAGTTTGAAATCCCATGTTAAAGGTGAACTATTTCCTCGACAGGACCAGCTCGACTCCTGCAGTAGGAGTCCAGCCTCGTCCAGTCGTCGCCGCTCGCCAAGACCAGCCGGACTCCTGCAATAGGGGTCCAGGCTGACCCGTTCGTCCAGTAACCGCCGCTCGTCAGCACCAGCTGGGCTCCTGTAGTAGGGGTCCAGCCTCGTCCAGTCGCCGCCGCTCGCCAAGACCAGCTGGGCTCCTGTAGTATGGGGCTAGGATGGCCCGTTCATCAACCGGTCCTGAAGTTACATCGCTGTCAGCCAGCCGAACTCAGTACATAAGTCACCGACCCTGAATGTTGCCAGCCAAAGTCGGCAGTTTCCTTCGGACAGTCATCTCACCAGTGTTGTACAGTGTACGAGGTTAGTGACGCAATTAAATGCGTCAATTAAATGCGAGGACGTGCGCTTATATGCAGCGTTTTGTCATGTCGAGCTGCATGGGTGTCGATTTTCACCGAATTGAGGGTGCCCACTGCCCGGGCGCAGCAAATCCGCCGCCGCCTCAGCGGTGACCTTGACCCGCACCGTCTGTTGGGGCTCCAAAGCCAAGCCAGACGAGCCGGCGGAGAATTTAAAGAGCTTGAGCACCCCCAACCCGGCGGAAATTGACACCTATGTTGAGCTGTATGGATGCGTTTTAGCCTTCCGCCGTGGTGGTAAATAGCAGCCTACATGCAGAATTAGGCAGGCTTATTGGCGGGCTCATTATTGGATTCATTGTGTCACGTTTGTCGGCACGTGTAAGATGTGCTTAACTGCCATTGGCTCTCGGCCTGGCGACTTCTGGGGACCACGTTCTCTTCGGGAACAAAGGTAGGGGATATACTGAAAAACCACACAAAAAGAAATGGAGAAGAAAAAAGTTTAGTGTATAAGATTCCTTGTGGTTCTTGTGACAAATCATATATAGGGGAAACCGGGAGGGGCTTAGACGTTAGATTAAAGGAACATAAGCGGGACATGCGAAACAACGCAGAACATAGCGCGGTAGTAATTCATGCTCAGAAAACACATCATTTACCAAGATGGGGCGGGGCGGAAATTATAGCATTATGTAAAAACAAAGACAATCGGAAGGCGACAGAGGCGGCATTTATAGCAATGAACGAAACGATTAATATTAGGGTGGGTTCGATGAAATGGGCAAAACCAGCGGCGATGTATAGTTTGAAGAAGACGCGTCATTAGTTTGTATAAGTACCTACTTGTTCATGATCGTTCTGTATAAATTTGTTGTTATCCATGTGTCATACGTCAGTGATCTATTTTGCTATCATTTTTCGTGGATATTCTCCTACAGGTGGATTAGTAGTGAATATGTCATATGCATGAATTTTTAAAATCAAGACGATTGCACTGTGACGAGCTCGAATGTTTGTGTGCTATATCTTGTTTTCTCTGTGATTATGTCATGCTGATGAAGATTTAATAATCGAAACGCGTCCATGCACTATTTGTTCCGTGTTTTTCTACTTGTCTCTATCAATATACATTTGTCGAAGAAACGATATTAAATCCACTTCCTCTTTAGAAGCTCTTGAAATAAACCTGGCTATCTGGTTGTCGAAGCCAGCAAACTATATGCTTGGAATGGCTAAATGTCCATTGTACATGACATCATTGAATTGAATTATTTTCCTTCTTAGCACTTAAAATACATTTCAGCGACACAAAACTCCCAAAAGTCTGATATCTTGCCCGTGGTATCGTGGTACGATCGGCGAGTACCTTCCTACGCAATGTCCATGGCTATGCGAAGTCTAAGGTTGGCCTACATAGCCTTGGGTTGGCCTGTTTATCCTATTTCATATCGTATCTATGAAAATAAAGTGTTCACGATCGCATAGCCAAACTAAGAACAAAATATTTATTTGCAAAACTCCAGCAATACCCCTCGCTTGATACTATAAAAAATATTGCACACGATCATGCAAAGCCGTGAATCCTACCGCCTTTATTTAGCGCTGGCGTTCCCGCGTTAATAATTTCTCCTGAATCGGAGGACCAATAATCAGCTGACGCACCGTTGTTTTGATGTCGGCGGACCGTGCCAGCCTGCTTCTCATCAGAGTCTCCAGTGCCGGTTGATAGTAGGAGCCATCGAGCAGCATACCTTCAATCAGCTGTCTTGCGATACCCGTGACTGATGATTGAAGGTGAGCCATCTTTTCGGCGTCTGACAGGCTCGCTTGGTCATGAATTAGTGTCTTAAACAGGCCGATCCAGCGGGGCCATTCACTAGGATTGCCGCCAAAACGGGGCAGCTGCATTTGAGGCACGCTCCGCTGGCTGGTCGACCTGGGGCCGACAGAATCCTGTCTCTCGGACCTGTTCATTTCAGCGATCCACGACGTGGCGGCTCTTCCTGCTGGAGGGTTCTGTTCTCTGTGGGGAGCAGCTGTGGATGGCGGCCTGGCGGCAGCTCCTGTGGACGCCGGTACAGATGCTGCAGTCACTGCTGCAGCTGCCTCTTCAGTTGGCTCGTCTTCACCGGGCCCAAAACTGTCATTTAGATCGTCCCTTCGTTCCCATGCCAAGTCACTTTCAGCGGCTTGCTGCAGTCTGGCTTCCAGCTCCGATATTTCCGCCGCAGCCTCTGCTCTTTTAAGCCTTTGCTTTCTCTCCAGTTTCTTCCGTTCACTCTCTAGCCGTTCCTCTTCTCGTTCTAGTTCCAGCTGCTCTCGAAGATGCTTGACCGCAGCTCTCTTCACCTGAGCTGCAACTTCAGCCTGGCGTCGGGCTTGCTTTGAGGACACAGAAACTGCTGACACGGCCGTGGAGCGAGAAGAACTGGAGCTCGATACGGACCTCCCGTCATCGCCTCTGGACGACAGATGCTCTTTTATCTTTTGCTTCACCTCCTGCTGGGTCCTTGCAATATCAGCGTAGTACTCGCGAGCTGCTTGCCTCTGGTCATCACTAGTCAGAAGCTCTAAAAGCTGACCATTAGCTTCATCGAGCTCACCTGCCAGATCATCAACCTGTAGCAGAACCTTCTGGATCTCTTCCTTGGATCCGTTCACCAATATCAGCGTCTCAGCTTTGTTGCAGGCTCTGGTGAACTGGGATTTCTTCGAGCTTCTTCTCTTCTTTATTTCTTCGATGTGGACTGTATTCATATTTACGTTAGTCAGCCTTTTACGTATATTGACTGTTAGGCTACGTTAACAGAACTACATTGAATGACGTTACTTTAACATTATTTCGAAAACGAACAAACGATCCGACCACGGAGGACCAAATTGTTACGGACGAGTCGATGTTATGCCGAGGTGAAACATAATGTTATGATGTGAATGAATGAGGTATGAATGAAAGAAGTTATGATCGAGATTCGAGACGAAGCGATGCGAAAACGAATGAATGAATGAATGAGTATACTCGAATGAATCAATCGATGCAGTACAAATAATCGAGTCGATATACACGATAAACGATACTGTGTTCCGAATTAAGGTTCGAATCAAGGTTGGCATTAAACGAGCGTGTTCTACTTATTTTTAGCACAAATTTATCACTGCTTTTGTAAGCTCGAGAAACTGTACTCGCGCTCTGATAATGGTAATACCGCTGCGGCGGTGACACGTGCTATGTTAAAAAAGATGTTTACAGTGAGGGTCGAACTTAGAAAAAACGAACTATAACTAGCCTTTTGTGACCGAGGGAGCTGCGGCGGCCGCAGACACTTAAAGGGAGTGTGCCACCTTCCAATGATTTCCCATTTTATTTTTCCTAGGATAAGAAGCCTCTGTTTTTACCTAATATCGCAAAAAAATCAAAAAATGGGCCTGCAATAGTGCTTTTTTCGCCCAAAAGTTTATCGGTTTTTCGATATGTATAACAACTGAAGTGGGCTGACCTGCAAACAGGCGTCGGCAGCAATCGCGAATGCGGCGCACATGTGACAATAAGCAAAGGTCATTATAGAATTACGACGTACGGGAAAGAGTTATCAGCTGTCTAATCGTAGACAAGACAATATCGAACTCAAACTGTAAGCCTGTATTCGCATTGTTTCTTTAATTTGGCTGTCGAACATAAATTAATGGTTTGAAATGATTTTATGTAAAATAATGATATAAAACAGCCGTCTCTTAAGTTATGAACCCATCTCACCACACGAAAGTGGCAGAAATGACAATGATCAGCTGACGCATTTTTCTTGGCCGAGTCAGAGCGCGCGGCCCGACGCACCACCACCGCACCACAAAGTATGAGCAGAAGCCACCTAACAGGCGTGTTCGAAACCGCAGGAGATGATGATGAACGGGTTTATCGAAACTTGATTGGATGAGCCTATCGGTAATAGCGATTTTAGTGTGTGCATTTATTGTTCATAGTGGTGTGAAATGTGGTTGGGGTACGACCGACAACCCGTCGGGGCGAATTTCGCACTGGGGTACTCAAAATTTGAAGAATTTAAGACGTTTCCATGAGTTTTGAAGGTATGGATCAGTTCTAAAAATCCGGTTCTCCTCATCCGGGTCATTAACTCCATATAGTCCAGGAAAGCTGGCGCACTACCTTTAAGCCAACAAACGGGACCTGATAGGCGTTGACAAGGCGACGCTGGTGCAAACAGCGCCCGGCATGGTCCCTATTAAAACAGGCGAAAAATACAATGTTAATAATACGCTTACCAAAACGGCACTCAGAAACACATTTGGTCGGGGAGACTGGGGAGAAGAGTGACATTATTTTTACGCCAACTTTGAAAATTCGTAAAAATAGAATGCTTAGGACTACAGTTCATTAATTGCATTAACTAGTAAACGGTTTAGGGGATGATTCTACCTCTCCTATACGGCCATAGATTGTGTCATGCAAGATTCCTTTACTACTCAGGTTGGTTCACTAGGGAAATAAAGGCGCCGTGATGACATCAATGGAAATCCTTCACGCTCAAATGAAGGGGTCATTTGAATTGCTGATTTTGGCTCGATATAGTCCTATTTTTTTAGTTTCAGCCCCATTTATCGTAATGAGCCGAACTCATTGTCATTGGTACAACTTTTGATGATACATAATCCTTTTTTCTCCAGCTCGCTCGAA